CAGGTCATGATCTCACGGTCCGTGGGTTTGAGCCCCGCGTCGGGCTCTGTGCTGACAGCTAGCTCAGAGCCTGGAACCTGCTTCGGATTCTGTGTCTCCCTGTCTTTCTGATCCTCCCCTGCTCACGCTGTCTCTATCTCTCTCTCGAAAACAAACATTTAAAAAATTTTAGAATGTCTGTAATTCTTAAAAACTAGAGTCTTTTTTTTTTTTTTTAATTTCTGAGAGAGAGGGAGAGAGAGACAGCGTGAGCAGGGGAGGGTCAGAAAGACAGGGAGACACAGAATCCGAAGCAGGCTCCAGGCTCTGAGCTAGCTGTCAGCACAGAGCCTGACATGCGCCTCGAACCCACAGGCCGTGAGATCATGACCTGAGCTGAAGTCAGATGCTTAACCGACTGAGCCATCCAGGCGCCCCAAGAATTACAGAAATTCTAGACACTCCAACAGTATAAATGCCATACACAATATTTCCAAGCAAAAAAATATAAAAATAGAATTCATATTCAATTAGAACAAAAACAGTATAGATAATATAAAATTAAACTTTTGAGCAGCACTAACAAACCTTTTCTTATAAATAAATTCTCTTATATAGGAGAAGTATACACACACATAAATTATCTGAGAGGTAGAAAACTTGATTTGAATTTTACAAGCTAATGGGAAACCAAAGATAAAGAGGACACTGTTGCTCTAGTTTTTATAGTTTCAAGAGTTTTTACCCCACTCTGTATTCACTTAGAGGGTACAATGTTGTTTTTCAAATTTTATTTATTTATTTTGAGGGGGAGAGAGAGAGAGAGAGCGCGCGCACACACAAGTGGGGGAGGGGCAGAGGGAGAGAGAAAAAGAATCCCACATACACTCCACAGGGTCAGCACAGAGCCTGATGCTGGGCTTAGTCCCACAGACTGAGAGAGATCATGACCTGAGCTGAAATCAAGAGTCAGACACTTAACCAACTAGGCCATGCAGGCGCTCCTATTATTATTTTTTTTAATGTTTATTTATTTTGAGAGAGAGTAAGAGAGAGAGAGGCACTTGTGTGCACATCTGAACAATTGGGGGAGAGGCAGAGAGAGGAAGAGAGAGAATCCCAAGTAGGTTCCATGGTCAACACAGAGCCCAACACAAGGCTTGATCCATGACCATGAGACCACAGTCTGAGCTGAAATCAAGAGTTAGATGCCACCCAGGTGCCCTATCAGAAGGTACATTATTAAATGCAAAATTTGACACAGTTTGTGCTCTTTGATTTTTTTCATTTGGAAAACAAAAAGAATATTCTGTGTAGAATTATATATCCTACTGAAGGTATTACCTTATAAATGCATACTTGTCTTTTTTCTTGTCCAGTTCCTTTTTATACCCGTATTCCATCATTTCCTGATTGTAATGGAGGAGCTGTAATGATCTAGTTAAAAACAAACTTTATTTCAAAGTTTTTTAAAAATTTATTTAAGTAATTTCTACACCCCACATGGTGCTTTAATTCACAACCCCAAGATCAAGAGTCCCATGCTCTTCCAACTGAGTCATCCAGGTGCCCCTTAATACAAACCTTATTTCAAAATAGATTTAATGGTTAACACTAATCAGTTGCTTGGGAAAGAAGCACAAACAAAACAGATCAAACATAAAAATCCACCACCAAAAGTACAAGAATGCAGACTGCTGAAAGAGAGAAATATATGTCAATAATTTTATATTAAGATATTTTCCTTTCTATCATTATAAGCATTCACCAGTTATGGAATTAATATACAATCTTATATTAGTTACAGGTGTACAACATATGTTCAACAATTCTGTACATTATTCAGTGCTCACCATAGTAAAGGTAAGTCACCATTTGTCACCAAACAACATTTTAAATACTATTGACTATATTTCCTATGCTATACTTTTCATTCCTGTCACTTATGTATTTTATAACTAGAAGTTTATACCTTTTAATCCCTTTTATCTGTTTCATCCCATCTTCCCACCCACCTCCCCTCTGGCAACCATCAGTTTGTTCTCTGCATTTAAGGGTCTGTTTGTTCATTTTGTTTGTTTCTCAGATTCTACCTATAAGTGAAATCATATGGTATTTGTCTTTCTCTGTGTGATTTCTTTAGCATAATACCCTCTAGGTCCATCCATGTTGACTTAAGTAGCAAGATCTCATTCTTTTTTAATGGCTGAGTGATGTTCCATTATATGTATGCCACATCATCTTTATCCATCTCTTGATGGACACTAGTGTTGCTTCCATATCTTGGCTATTGTAAACAATATTGCAATGAAACATAGAGGTATCTTTTTGAATTAGCATTTTCATTTTCTTTGGGTAAATACACAGTAGTAGAATTACTGGATCATAAGGTTTTCTATTTTTACTTTTTTGAGGAACCTCCGTACTCTTTTCTACAGTGTCTGCACTAATTTACATTCCCCACCAATAGTGCATGAAGTTCCTTTTTTTCTACATCCTTGCCAATACTTGTTATTTCTTATTTTTTTTGATACTAGCCGTTCTGACAAATATAAGGTGATAGCACATTGTGGTTTTGATTTGCATTTCCCTGATGACTAGAGATGTTGAGCATCTTTTCATGTGTCTGTTTGCCATCTGTATGTCTTCTTTGGGAAAATGTCTATTCAGTTCTTCTGCCTACTTTTAAATTGGATTGTTTGTTCAGTGTCACTTGTATAAGCTATTTATATATTTTGGATATTAACTCCTTATTGGATATATCATTTGCAAATATCTTCCATTCAGCGAGTTGTCTTTTTGTTTTGTTGATGGTTTCCCTTGCGGTACAGAAGTGTTTTCTTTTGGCATTGTCTCATACCGCATTTTCCTTTATATAAAGCATTATGAGCTCAACATTGGATGTTTTACAAATACCACTGATTTCGCAACCTTAATGATGAATTCTAGATTAATTCAAGTTAGAGCAACAGTTTTACTCTAAATGATAGAAAACACATCTAGGCTACTACTGGGAGAAAGGGGTTGTCATAGTTTCTGAAAGTCAGCTTTATAATTAGACTCTTGTGTGTCAGTGGTAGTAAACAAGTTCAAGGACTATTTCAAATCATGATTCAATAAGAGATAATCATATCTTCTATTTTTTTCTTTTAAAAGTTTATTTATTTGAATAATCTGTATACCCAATGTGGAGGTTGAATTTATGACCCCAAGATTAAGAGTGGCATGCTCCTCTGACTGAGCCAGCCAAGTGCTTATTTTTCTATTCATCTTCTATTCATCTTCTATTCATCTATCTTATATTTCTATTCATCCTAAGAAATACTTGTGTGAGAATACCTACACATATATGTACTATATGTACCTATATATGTTTATGTAAATATGACAAATGCTTATAAATTTCTCATACAGACTTAGTATTAATAAGATCCCTGTTTTTCATAATTTGAGACAATGCAATTCTATACATACACATATATGTACTTATATACATTTACGTATATATGACAAATGGTCATAAATTTTGCATACAGACCTAGAATTAATAAGATCCCTGTTCTTTGTAATTTGAGACAGCATAATTCTATAGGTATGAAATGGGCCTGGAAAAGTGTGCTTGCCCCTTCTAAGCCTAGCTTTCACCAGCATGTTAGATTTAGGGCAAGTTATCCTTCTATACCTCAGTCTGACTGCTACAAAATGAACAAAGTAGAGTTTTCCTCTTTAAAGAAAATTAAAATAAGGGCAAAGTGCAAAGTTACATCAGAAAAGTACTTATGCAAAGTCAAGGTATGACTAATGGTAATTTTTTTTTAAAGTAATCTCTACACCCAATGTGGGCCTCAAACTCATGACCTCCAGATCAAGAGTTGCATGCTTTACTAACTAAGCCAGCCAGGTGCCCCATAATGGTAAAAATTTTATAGGTGATGTAGGAGGCTTTGAAAAGACTAATTTTGGGGTACCTGGCTGGCTCAGTCTGTGGAGTATGTGACTCTTGATCTCAGGGTTGTGAGTTCAAGCCCCACATTGGGTGTGGAACCTACTTAAAGATTAAAATAATTTTTTAAGGCTACTTTTCCTGGGGTGCCTGGCTGGCTCAGTTTGTGGAGCATATGACTGTTGATCTTGGGGCTGTGAGTTAGAACCCCACATTGCATGTAGAGATTATTACTTAAAAATAAAATCTTTAAAAATTTAAAAACTTAAAAAACTACTTTTCTTAATTATATCTAAATTTTGCTAGCTGATTTCTTTGTGCCAAGCAACTGAAGAGACCCCAAAATCTAGAAGGATAAAGTGGTTGGCAGTCTGAAATTATTAAGGTCTTGCTTGTATCTGCCTTAAGATCATGTTGTCTTAAAAGAGAGACATATACACTCACACACATATTGTAATGATAACTTATACTTTGTAAACATTTAATTGGAAGGAATTACCAAATACATGTGGGTTTTAGTCTCACTTCTGTGAGAATAAAAATTATAAAACAAAATACAATTTTACACGTGGTCTTAAATAATTGGAAAATGCAATGCCTAGCAAAACAAAAAGAACAGGATTTTCTATTTTATCTCTCAGGAGTATGTTATTTGAGTTCCTGCAAAGAGAAAACAAATTCACATCTACATCCACACCCACTTACATAAATGTGTGTAAACACACTCACTCCAGAGGTTTATAGCTTATATTCTACTACAGTCTTAAGGAAGACTAGTCATATCTACAATTAGAGGAGGAGACAAAAAGTACAGGTTAAAACGATTACTTATGGTGTTTTGGGTCCAAACATTAAGAGGTACAAGGGGTTGCTGATAACTTTAGTCAGTATTATTATTTTTTAAAGGTTATTTTATTTTTTTTAATGTTTCTTTTTGAGAGAGAGAGAGCACAAGCAGGGGAGGGGCAGAGAGAGAGGGGGACAGAGGATCCAAAACAGGCTTCGTGCTGAAAGCAGGGAGCCTGATGTGGGGCTCAAACCCACAAACTGTGAGATCACAACCTGAACCAAAGTCAGACACTCAAATGACTGAGCCACCCAGGCGCTCCTAGTCAGCATTATTTTAATAGCAGAAAAGTAAATTAATTTTTCTAGGTTCTCAAACTGTTATTTATAAACTTCAACACATTTTCAAGATAAACAATTATATATAGCTATATATAGATAATTTAGCAATGAAAATGGATGTGTCTACTTGCCAGTAGTATGGGCAACTTTATCAAGTGCTAGTCACTCCTATATTTGAAGCCTGTGTATTTATTTGATAATATTACAGCTCTTACAAATCCTTGCCATTGCAACCCTGTACCCTCTGAAGAACTAACTCCCTAGCAAGTGATTTTTTTTTTAATGACTTACCCTACTCCCCATAACAAAACATGACTGACAGTAATTGTTAACAACTAAAACCTACAAAATATGGTTCAATGCTATGCAATTATTTAAAATGTAAAACCCGGTGATTATATTAAGGCCACCAATTTATACTGAAGTATCAAATTTTGTAAAGTATTTCCAACCAAAAAGAAATCCTAATAAATGGTGAGTCCAACATGCTGACTTTGGATAATCTACTGATCAGAAATTCTTTTTTTTATATTCAACACAAGAAATCTATAACCTTTATCTATACAAAGGATAGTTTACCAGTTCTAGCTATGGCATCCATAACACAGAGTTTTTGAACCATTAAAATAAACAAAAAGTGCTCTCTTCTTTACTGCAAGGACATGGAGTCAAAGTTTCTTATCAAGCTGAAAATGATCAAGTTCAGGTCCAAGATGCCAACATAACTTCTGCAGTGTCATACACATGCTTATTCTTTCTTTGCTCCTTAGAGTTTGTCATAAGGGCTGATATGACATGTCTCTTTGGTGCAGGGAAAACGAACCATTCAAATAACATGAATGTCCTATACCACCACAATGGGCTTAGTGAGATGGGAGCGACATAGACTTTTTAAATGCTCGAAACCCTTTTGCTGGCCCAGAATATGGTGGCGGTGGGGAAACATTGTGTTTTCTGGTTAGTGCCACTGCCTGTTCATAAGAAGGTAATCCTGTGTCTTCCATGGAAGGTAGTGATGGAGTCAAGGCAGCCTCCTCAGGTCTTCTGAAAATGATGGAGGGAGTGGGTCGGCCCCTTCTTACATAGGTAGCTGAAGAACTAAACAGAGAGACTGTGGTTACATCTAGAAAGCCAGAATTTTTAGGTTAAAATGGCAATATTAAAAAACCCAACTGACTATTCTGATGAAAGTTGATCAAAAGCTTATCAAAAGTTGAACTTTTCATAAAAGTTGTTGTTATTAATATAACAGTTTTTTCTTACACATACACTTGGGTGAAAGATCAAGTGCTTTGGAGTCAGATGTGGGTATGAAACTGGATCCTATCATTTCATAGCTACGTGACCAAAGGCTAGTTACCTAACTCAGTTTCCTCCTCAATAAAACGTGGATAATAATAGCTGCCTCAACAGAGTTGTTTTGTGGGGATTCAGAAAGATGTCGTATTTAAAATATCTACGCAGTATCTGAAATACTATAATAAGGGCTCAAAACATCTTAAGTCCCTTTTTCTCCCACTCCTGACTGAGAACATTCTCAAAATATGGTGCGAAATCAAATTCTTTCTTGTTGAAAGGCAGCATTACTCCTTTCAGCCAAGGGAAGTGATGTCACCAGAATAATCACAACAGGTGATGTGTGTCCCTCTCTGCAGCAGGTCCATCCCTCCTAAACAGCACTTCTGTCATATCCTTCTCTGCAAAAGTGTAACCTGCAGCCTACTTTCCAGAGTCAAATTCAACTGCTATGCCTTTTTAGAGCCTCCCTTATTCTGGCCTCACCTTATTTTTTACAGCTTTTTGCTCTTGCCAAAGTACTATGTGCAATGAATTCTGTCCTGCCTCTGTGCTTTCACTAGTGTTGTTTGCTTTCTTGGATTATTGTCTTTTCCACACTCCATTGACCTAAGACCAACAATTTTTAAAAAATATGGCCTAGTTCAAGCCCCACCATTTTCACAAAACTTTGTCAGCTACACCAGCCAATGAAAACTGACATGCAACACATGGTTTTGAACCTTTGTTTTCCCTTCTCACTACTGAATTACCAATTATTTAGTAAATTTATGTTTAGACTATGAAGTGGGCTGTCCATAAAGCACTTGTGAGTAAATTAAGTTCCTAGAGCTATGGCTGATAAGGTAGTTAGAATTAACATATAATCCGGGGCACCCGGGTGGCTTAGTCGGTTAAGCGTCCGACTTTCGCTTAGGTCATGATCTCGCGGTTCGTGGGTTCGAGCCCCGCGTCGGGCTCTGTGCTGACTGCCAGCTCAGAGCCTGGAGCCTGTTTCAGAGTCTGTGTCTCCC